ACGGACCAACATAGCTCTTAAGTAAACTAAGAGTGGTAGACCGCCTTTGAGCGAGATCAGCACTATACATACCGAATTATTGTAAATACATATAAAAACAGTACAGACGGACCAACATAGCTCTAAGTAAACTAAGAGTGGTAGACCGCCTGAGCGAGATCAACACTATTCATACCGAATTATTGTAAATACATATAAAAAACAGTACAGACGGACCAACATAGCTCCTGAGTAAACTAAGAGTGGTAGACCAGACCGCCTTTGAGCGAGATCAGCACTATACATACCGAATTATTGTAAATACATATAAAAAACAGTACAGACGGACCAACATAGCTCCTAAGTAAACTAAGAGTGGTAGACCGCCTTTGAGCGAGATCAGCACTATACATACCGAATTATTGTAAATACATATAAAAAACAGTACAGACGGACCAACATAGCTCCTAAGTAAACTAAGAGTGGTAGACCGCCTTTGAGCGAGATCAGCACTATACATACCGAATTATTGTAAATACATATAAAAAACAGTACAGACGGACCAACATAGCTCCTAAGTAAACTAAGAGTGGTAGACCGCCTTTGAGCGAGATCAGCACTATACATACCGAATTATTGTGGATACATATAAAAAACAGTACAGACGGACCAACATAGCTCTTAAGTAAACTAAGAGTGGTAGACCGCCTTTGAGCGAGATCAGCACTATACATACCGAAATTGTAAATGTACATATAAAAACAGTACAGACGGACCAACATAGCCCTAAGTAAACTAAGAGTGGTAGACCGCCTTTGAGCGAGATCAGCACATACATACCGAATTATTGTAAATACATATAAAAACAGTACAGACGGACCAACATAGCTCTTAAGTAAACTAAGAGTGGTAGACCGCCTTTGAGCGAGATCAGCACTATACATACCGAATTATTGTAAATACATATAAAAACAGTACAGACGGACCAACATAGCTCTTAAGTAAACTAAGAGTGGTAGACCGCCTTGAGCGAGATCAGCACTATGCATACCGAATTATTGTAAATACATATAAAAACAGTACAGACGGACCAACATAGACTCCTAAGTAAACTAAGAGTGGTAGACCGCCTTTGAGCGAGATCAGCACTATACATACCGAATTATTGTAAATACATATAAAAAACAGTACAGACGGACCAACATAGCTCCTAAGTAAACTAAGAGTGGTAGACCAGACCGCCTTTGAGCGAGATCAGCACTATACATACCGAATTATTGTAAATACATATAAAAAACAGTACAGACGGACCAACATAGCTCCTAAGTAAACTAAGAGTGGTAGACCAGACCGCCTTTGAGCGAGATCAGCAGCACTATACATACCGAATTATTGTAAATACATATAAAACAGTACAGACGGACCAACATAGCCCTAAGTAAACTAAGAGTAGACCGCCTTTGAGCGAGATCAGCACTATTCATACCGAATTATTGTGGATACATATAAAACAGTACAGACGGACCAACATTCTAAGTAAACTAAGATGGTAGACCGCCTTTGAGCGAGATCAGCACTATTCATACCGAATTATTGTGGATACATATAAAAAACAGTACAGACGGACCAACATAGCTCCTAAGTAAACTAAGAGTGGTAGACCGCCTTTGAGCGAGATCAGCACTATTCATACCGAATTATTGTGGATACATATAAAAAACAGTACAGACGGACCAACATAGCTCCTAAGTAAACTAAGAGTGGTAGACCGCCTTTGAGCGAGATCAGCACTATTCATACCGAATTATTGTGGATACATATAAAAAACAGTACAGACGGACCAACATAGCTCCTAAGTAAACTAAGAGTGGTAGACCGCCTTTGAGCGAGATGAGAATTATTTACATAAAACTACTGTGTATGCACATCAGACATCTTACTGGACCAGTGTAAGTCGTAAGTAAATGAAAATTTGTAATACGCCTTTGAGCGAGATCAGCATTAGATATATAAAACTACTGTGTATGTACATCCAAGACATCTTACTGGACCAGTGCAAGTGTAAGTAAATGAAAAGTTGCATCACGCTTTTGAGCGAAATAAGCATTAGTTATATAAAACTACTGTGTATGCACATTAAACATCTTACTGGACCGATATCGGTCCAGTAAGATGTTACGAGTTATATAACTCGTAAGTAAATAATAGTTGTAACACGCCTTTGGGCGAGATCAGCATTAGTAGTGTAAAAGACTGTGTATGCACATTAAACATCTTACTGGACCGATATAACTCGTAAGTAAATAATAGTTGTAACACGCCTTTGGGCGAGATCAGCATTAGTAGTGTAAAAGACTGTGTATGCACATTAAACATCTTACTGGACCGATATAACTCGTAAGTAAATAATAGTTGTAAAACGCCTTTGGGCAAGATCAGCATTAGTAGTGTAAAAGACTGTGTATGCACATTAAACATCTTACTGGACCGATATAACTCGTAAGTAAATAATAGTTGTAACACGCCTTTGGGCGAGATCAGAATTTGTTATATAAAACTACTGTGTATACACATCAGACATCTTACTGGACCAGTGTAAGTCGTAAGTTAATGAAAATATGTAACACGCCTTTGAGCGAGATCAGCATATATACATAAAACAACTGACTATGAACATCAAAGACATATTACTAGACCTGTGTAAGTCGTAAGTAAATTAAAATTTGTAACACGCCTTTGAGCGAGATCAGCATTGAGTATATAGTACTACTGTGTATGCACATCAAAGACATCTTACTGGACCGATATAACTCTTGAGTAAATGAAAAGTTGTGATTCACTTTTGAGCGTGATCAGCATAAAATATATAAAATTACTATTTATCGCATCAAAGACATCTTACTGGACCAGTGTAAGTCGTAAGTAAATTAAAATTTGTAACACGCCTTTTAGCGAGATCAGCACAATATAAAAACTATTGCCTGTAGCCGATGTAGACACGACTTGAATGCGGGCATCGAATATTCATCAGAAGGACAGCAACACTTAAAACATTTATTTATATTGGAATCAGCACTGAATAAAATTTATTTTTGTTTGCTATATTACTACATATACAGTAAATACATTTGCAAGCTAAGCAATCAATTCTCTAGCGCCAGCGCGACAGACTGGCAGTTTTGGGAGAGAGAGACGCAGGCATTCGGCGGGCCCTCTCTGTTCGGTGACTCATCAACGTTACCGAGCCGAGCACTTTTGACGTGACAACGTCTTAAATTAGGTTGCGGCTGGGAGTCACTTTGAAAAGTGTAACGCTCGGTAACGTAACGATGAGTCACCGAACGAGAGAGAGGCCCGCCGAATGCCTGCGTCTCTCTCTCCCACTCAACTATGATCGGTCTGCGCGCGCAGCACTAGAGAATTAGTGCATACAGTTTGCAAAATGTATTGCAGTTATTGTATGTATATTTGTATATAAATACGTATGTATGTGTAAAGGTAAAAATAAAATTTTGTTAATATGAAATTCAGTGCGAGATTCTTTGTATAAATTAATGTTTTAAATATAATTCTTTGTATAAATAAATGTTTTAAATTGTTACTATTATTTCATCCTTCTTCCTACTATACGAATGAATATTCACATTAAAATGATTTTACCATTCAAAGTCGTTGTCACGTAAAACTTTCGCCCGTATACCGACTTTACAGGCAACCAAATTTTTTCATAAGTGACTCCCAGCCGCAACCTAATTTAAGACGTTGTCACGTCAAAAAAACTACTGTGCATGAACATCAAAGATATATTACTTGACCGACATAACTCTTACGTAAATGAAAAGTTGTAACACGCCTTTGAGCGAGATCAACAATTAATATGTAAAACTACTGGGTATGCGCATTAAAGACATCTTTTTGGACCAGTGTAACTCGCAAATAAATGAAAATTTTCATCACGCCTTTGAGCAAGATCAGAATTAGATACATTTAACTACTATCTATGCACATCAAAGACATCTTAATGAACCAGTGAAGGCGTATGTAAATTAAAATTTGAAACACGCCTTTGAGCGAAATCAGCACTTGTCACGTTAAGTTATTTTTGCACTTATATTAATTTGCTTATATATACTTTAGTTATATAAAATTATGTAAATAAAATAAAACTTACATTAATTTGCACATCTTCACTATGCAGAAAAATGTATAAACCTTAAATTTAAAATTAATCATCATTTTCTACTTGGTGACCGGGTCGATGATAGATTTCATAAAGTTAATGTAAATAAAAAGCTTTATTGTAACCAGTCATCATATCCCGGATATAATAAATTTTTGAAGCGACTTTTTTATAATTACGTATTTGTATGCAGTTTCTTCTCGTAAAAACATGTGTGATCGCCTATAAGCGGAGCGGCAAATGTAAGGTCGTCTTAAAATATTTGTGATTAGAAATATGTATGGAGTCGATTGGTATATTTTTATGTTTTCTTTTGTTAAGAAGATTTATCTAATGGATAACAAAAGCTTTCATTTTTAACAACATTTAAATGATAATTTAACCTAAAGTTAGTACTGAGAGTCGCTTTCTACATCATACAGTTTTCCCATAGGTGGAGCGCGATGTGTCGAACACTAAAACTATGAAGCGGGTTTTCGTGCAGTACAGAGCTGCGGCCTAGTGCTCACTCTTGTACTAACGTAAAAACTCCATTCTAAACCAAGTACACGCTTGCACGTCTAGTCTACATGAAGTGTGTGCAAATAGTAAAATGCCAGTGACTCCGAAAGGAGCAAAATATATGGCAAAGTTTAATCAGTGTTGAGCGTTTGTGCATTATTAGCAAGTACTAACGATTCTATATACATGAACTGTTTCAACTGCTCAGAATGTTTTATTTTCTCAAAATGGCAGATGTGCCTTCACCTCGAGCGGAGTGATACGAGATTAAATACGTGTATAAGGGCATTCAAATTATTCCGCATTGCTAAATCATTATAACATACGAAAGACATGATGATACTACCCTGAACGGTGGATCACTCGGCTCGCGGGTCGATGAAGAACGCAGCCAACTGCGCGTCATAGTGTGAACTGCAGGACACGCTCGAACATCGACATTTCGAACGCAAATTGCGGTCCGCGGAGACACGTCCGGGACCACTCCTGTCTGAGGGCTGGCCGTACACCAAAGGGCCACACTGCGAACGCTTTCCAACAGTAAGGCGTTCTGCCGTTGACGGTTTCGACGCGCGTTGCCTCTTCGCTGCCTTTCGGTGGCGATGGGGACGGTGTCGTCCGTTTAAATATTAGTCTCTGTGGGTATTATTACTCGCGACTTTTGGTCGTCTCGACGAAGCCGACACGTCGTAAGAGGTCGGTGTAGTCGATGAAACGATTGGAACGATGCGCGTAAAATATACAATTTAGAGATCGCTGTAAGCGGAAACTCCGTAGCGCGCTTTCGTCGTGCGGACGGATATACGAGTCTGCCTACGCACCCTATCGCCGGCCTCAGATCAGGGAGGATCACCCGCTGAATTTAAGCATATCAGTAAGCGGAGGAAAAGAAACTAACCAGGATTTCCTCAGTAGCGGCGAGCGAACAGGAAAGAGCCCAGCGCCGAATCGCGCGATCGTACCGGTCGCGCGACATGTGGCGTTCGGGAGGTTCTCGTCGTCGGGTCTCCTGTCCAAGTTCCTCTTGAACGGGGCCGCTTTCCCGGAGAGGGTGCCAGGCCCGTAGAGACGGAGCGCGGCGGCGAGAGGGACTCTCCTTAGAGTCGGGTCGCTTGAGAGTGCAGCCCCAAGCGGGTGGTAAACTCCATCTAAGGCTAAATATCACCGCGAGACCGATAGCGAACGAGTACCGTGAGGGAAAGTTGAAAAGAACTTTGAAGAGAGAGTTCAAGAGTACGTGAAACCGTTCAGGGGTAAACCTGCGAAACTCGAATGAAGGAACGGAGAGATTCAACACTGGCCCGCCGCAAAAGTGTGTGGGAGGTGTGCACTTCTCTCTTAGTAAAACGTTGCGACCCACTCCGTATCCGACTAAGGAACTATCGTAGCCGATGGCGTCGGGCGTCGTCGGACCAGCGTTAGTTACTGTTGGTAAAGAGTGGTAGACTACGATTCGCGCACGCGCTTTTGACGCGTTCGGCCCTACTCGCGGGTGTAGTAGTGCCGTAGTCCGCCTTTGCGCGAACTATGGCGCTGCACGCTCGAGTTTGTGCCTGTCTTGCGACATCGGACGGTGCGTGTCTCGGTCGGCGACGATTACGTTTCGGGCACTCGCAGGACCCGTCTTGAAACACGGACCGAGGAGTCTAGCATGTGTGCGAGTCATTGAGTTTTTGAAGCTGAAAGGCGAAACGAAAGTGAAGCGGTGTTTCTAACGGAGCACCCGGGGAGGATGATCGCGGAACTCCGTCCGCGCTCCGCACTTCCGAGGCGTTCTTTTCCCAATTTGCGGATGTGGACGTGCTATGAGCACAAATGCTGGGACCCGAAAGACGGTGATCTATGCCTGGTCAGGTCGAAGTCACGGGAAACTGTGATGGAGGACCGAAGCGATTCTGACGTGCAAATCGATCGTCTGAACTGGGTATAGGGGCGAAAGACCAATCGAACCGTCTAATAGCTGGTTCCGTCCGAAGTTTCCCTCAGGATAGCTGGCGCCGATCGTGAACAGTCTCATCCGGTAAAGCGACTGATTGGAGTATTAGAAATCGAAACGTTTCCTAACTCTTCTCAAACTCTAAATGGGTGAGAACTCCGGCTTGCTTAAATATTGAAGCTCGCGATTCGATGACGGTGCCAAGTGGGCCAATTTTGGTAAGCAGAACTGGCGCTGCGGGATGAACCGAACGTAGAGTTAAGGCGCCCAAAAGACGCTCACAGTTACCTAAAAGAGGTTGGACGTTCAAGACATCAGGACGGTGGCCATGGAGGTTGGTATCCGCTAAGGAGTGTGTAACAACTCACCTGAATAAGCGTGCAGCTCTGAAAATGGATGGCGCTCAAGTGTCTTGCCTATACTCTACCGTTACCGGCACGTGCGGTGGACGGCCAATGTCCGCCATTAAGCCGTAACGAGTAGGACGAGCGCGGCGGAGAGCGCAGAAGGGTCTGGGCGTGAGCCCGCCTGGAGCCTCCGTCGGTGCAGATCTTGGTGGTAGTAGCAAATACTCCGGTGAGGCCCCGGAGGACCGACGTGGAGAAGGGTTTCGCGTAAACAGTAGTTGCACGCGAGTCAGTCGATCCTAAGCTCAAGGAGAAATCTTTTTTATGGATGTGTTTCTGTAATAAGAACTACGTCCGTCGAGCGAAAGGGAATCCGGTTGAAATTCCGGAACCCGGCAGCGGAAGCGTTTCAGTAATCGTTCGTTCGCTCCAAAAGGGTGTGAATGTTCGACGGGGTGACCCGAACGGGCCTGAAGACGCCGTCTGGAGGTTCGGGAAGAGTTTTCTTTTCTATTTGAGCGTTCGAGTTCCGCGGAATTCTGTAGAAGGGAGATGCGGTTCGGAACGCGAAGAGCATCGCTATGGAGCGATGTCCGGATCCTCCATACGGACCTTGAAAATTCAGGTGAGGGACATACGCGTAATGTCGCGCCGGCTCGTACCCATATCCGCAGCAGGTCTCCGAGGTGAAGAGCCTCTGGTCGATAGAATAATGTAGGTAAGGGAAGTCGGCAAATTGGATCCGTAACTTCGGAATAAGGATTGGCTCCGAGGGCCGAGGCGAGTCGAGCTCGAGAGTGAAAGGACGCGTCGGAGTACGGCTGGTGTAAAGTCATCCGAAACTCTGACCTCCGATAGATCTTTCGAGTAGTGAATCTCGGATCGTGGCATCTCTCGATTCGAGGTACCTACGACCGCCGTAAACGGCCAACTCGGAACTGGCACGGACAAGGAGAATCCGACTGTCTAATAAAAACATAGCATTGCGATGGCCCTCGCGGGTGTTGACGCAATGTGATTTCTGCCCGGTGCTCGGAATGTCAACGTGAAGAAATTCGTCGAAGCACGGGTAAACGGCGGGAGTAACTATGACTCTCTTAAGGTAGCCAAATGCCTCGTCACCTAATTAGTGACGCGCATGAATGGATCAACGAGATTCTCGCTGTCCCTATCTACTATCTAGCGAAACCACAGCCAAGGGAACGGGCTTGGGAGAATCAGCGGGGAAAGAAGACCCTGTCGAGCTTGACTCTAGTCTGGTACTGTGACGAGAGGCGAGAGGTGTAGCAAAGTGGGAGGCCGTCCGCGGCCGTCGCTGGAATACCACTACTCTCGTCGTCACGTCGCTCACTCGGTTAAGCGAAAACTGTACCGGTCGAATGATTTCGAGCGGCACAGAGTTTGGTTTCAAGCGTGAAGTGAACGCTTCGCGTGGTTCGATCCGAAGACACTGCCAGGCGGGGAGTTTGACTGGGGCGGTACACCTGCCAAAGAATAACGCAGGTGTCCCAAGGCCAGCTCAGCGAGGACGGAAACCTCGCGTGGAGCAGAAGGGCAAAAGCTGGCTTGATCCAGATGTTCAGTACGCATAGGGACTGCGAAAGCACGGCCTATCGATCCTCTCTCGTAAAGAGCTTTTAGAGAGAGGTGCCAGAAAAGTTACCGCAGGGATAACTGGTTTGTGGCGGCCGAGCGCCCATAGCGACGTCGCTTTTTGATTCTTCGATGTCGGCTCTTCCTATCATAGTGAAGCGAAAATTGCTAAGTGTTGGATTGTTCACCCATAAAAAGGGAACGTGAGCTGGGTTTAGACCGTCGTGAGACAGGTCAGTTTTACCCTACTGATGGCGCGTCCTCGCGATAGTAATACTGCTTAATTCCACAGTAACCGTGGTATCGGACATTTGGTCGTGCACTCGGCCGAGCGGCCGGCGGTGCCAAGCTACCATCCGTGGGATAACGTCTGAACGCATATAAGACAGAAACCCGTCTAGCCGAATCGGGCGAGGATACCTCAAGCGGGGGCCCCGGAGTCGAAAGTGCTCCAAACAATGTGAACTCTTATTAGTCGGACTTTATGCGTAAGGTTCGGCGTCGAAGCCCTACACGGCGCCTCGGGTTAAAGCGGTAGCGCGAGACGATGCGCAGCGCTCCCGGCGCCTGTATTAAAGTAGTTCGAGGTCGGGGCCCGGAATCGTCTGTAGACGACCTTCGTTCCTGGCGGGGTGTTGTAAGCAGGAGAACAGCCTCGAGCTGTGATCTGTTGAGACTTAGCCCCTTTGCTAGGCGATTCGTCAAAGAAGGCGAATTCATTTATGAATCTACTCGAATCGACTCCCCGCAGCAAAGTAAAAATAGTTTTTTTTTTATGTAATAAAATAACGTCTATTATAAATATTGACAACTTAGCTGAAAAACGGGGAATATTATCGAGACTAAATGTAACTTTTGAAATTTTTCAAGCTCAAACTTTTTTTTAGATACATAGCGTACGCAAACAAAATAATTTTCGGTTGTCAGCAAACTACCTGTGTTATTCAATACACTGAATAAAAAAATTCTACCTAATGGGGCGATAAATCGATTTAGTTATGTTTAGAAATACATTTAAAAAATCTCGTTTTATTGGTGTTTCCAGGCAATGTTGGGAAATCGGCCGGTCTCGAATTCAGAAGACCCCGGTTCGATTCGACATGACTCATTTTTTTCAAGTCTTCTAGTTTTTTTTCAAGCTTCTTTTTTTTTTCCCAAAAAAATTCCCAAAAAAATAACATCATTTAAGTCTTGTTTGGTTTGGTTGATTTACCAAAAAAGAAACGAGCGAAGCCCGGTCATCGGTACTGAAGAATTTAAGTGCTGATTTATTAATATTATTTTATTATTGTATCGACCACAAAATAATTTCCAATCTTCATATAATTTGCAATGGAGATTTGTATATCCGAAATAATTCTAGATGCATCATCTTCTCAATAAGAGACAAGATAATGAAATGTATTTATAAGCGCAATGCGATCATTGCTATTAATAAGACTTCCAGGAGTATTTTGAAATTCTAACCAACAGAAATATGTTCCGTCGAATTTAGATATTTGTGTTTGCGGCAATTTCAAACCGATTTCTTGACGATCGAGACGGCATGAGACCTCATGAGTGGAACTATATCTGCTCCCACATTCAAGTTCTTTAGAGGAAAGGATGCATTTAGATTCACAATTACAAAGGAATGTTTAAGTACATTTTTTAGAAAGGACGCTAAACTTATCCTTGTGCATTTTCACCGCGCGCCATGATACTTTAATGTTCTCACCGCTCGTTCCAACCGTGATCCTTGGACGACCTGGCCGTAGCTCGATGCTTCGCTTAATGATTTTAGTCTTCACACATTGTTCCTCTATTTTAGGAAGTTACGCGAACACGTAGGCAGACTGTTCACTTTAATTTTTCTTGTAATTGTTCGTAATTTTTTTGGATTCTACAATAGTTCAGTTCATGGACCATCATTTTATTTTCAATTTCAAGAACTTAAGGACAGTGCAAAAAAAGAAATTTGAAAATTTATATATTTGATGAAAAATAATGTTTGAATAAAAAGTCGCAAATTTGAATGAACATAATTTGCACATAGTGCAGGATGACGTATAGATACCGAATTTGCGGTGAAATACTAGAAAGACGTGCGCTGGAACACCAGCCTTAAGGTAAGATCGGCGTTAGAGATATAAAATTGTTATAAATACATATCAAAATACAAGCCAGTCAGGCCAATATAGCTCGTAAGTAAACTGAAATAGGTAGCCAGTTTTTTGGCGAGATCAGCGTAAGATATATAAAACGACTGTGTATGCACCTCAAAAACACCTAACGGACCAAAATAATTCGTAAGTAAATGAAAAGTTATAACACGCCTTTGGGCGAGATCAGCGTAAAAGATACATAATTATCATGAATACATATCAAAATACAAGCCAGTCAGGCCAATATAGCTCGTAAGTAAACTAAAATAGGTAGCCAGTTTTTGGGCGAGATCAGCTTTAGGTATATAAAACGACAGTGTATGCACCTCAAAAACACCTAACGGACCAAAATAATTCGTAAGTAAATGAAAAGTTATAACACGCCTTTGGGCGAGATCAGCGTAAAAGATACATAATTATCATGAATACATATCAAAATACAAGCCAGTCAGGCCAATATAGCTCGTAAGTAAACTAAAATAGGTAGCCAGCTGTTTGGGCGAGATCAGCTTTAGGTATATAAAACGACAGTGTATGCACATCAAAACACCTAACAGGACCAATATAACTCGTAAGTAAATGAAAAGTTATAACACGCCTTTGGGCGAGATCAGCGTAAAAGATACATAATTATCATGAATACATATCAAAATACAAGCCAGTCAGGCCAATATAGCTTGTAAGTAAACTAAAATAGGTAGCCAGTTTTTTGGCGAGATCAGCGTAAGATATATAAAACGACTGTGTATGCACATCAAAACACCTAACGGACCAATATAATTCGTAAGTAAATGAAAAGTTATAACACGCCTTTGAGCGAGATCAGCATTAGATATATGAAACTACTGTATGTACATCAAAGATATGTCACGGGACCATGAGTCGTAAGTAAATGAAAAGTTATAACACGCCTTTGAGCGAGATCAGCATTAGATATATAAAACTACTGTGTATGCACATCAAAGATGTAACTGGACCAGTATAAGTCGTAAGTAAATGAAAAGTTATAACACGCCTTTGGGCGAGATCAGCATTAGATATATGAAACTACTGTGTATGCACATCAAAGATATGTCACTGGACCAATATAGTCGTAAGTAAATGAAAAGTTATAACACGCTTTTGAGCGAGATCAGCATTAGGTATATAAAACTACTGTGTATGCACATCAAAGATATGTCACTGGACCAATATAAGTCGTAAGTAAATGAAAAGTTATAACACGCCTTTGAGCGAGATCAGCATTAGATATATAAAACTACTGTGTATGCACATCAAAGATATGTCACTGGACCAATATGAGTCGTAAGTAAATGAAAAGTTATAACACGCCTTTGAGCGAGATCAGCATTAGATATATGAAACTACTGTGTATGCACATCAAAGACATGTCACTGGACCAGTATAAGTCGTAAGTAAATGAAAAGTTATAACACGCTTTGAGCGAGATCAGCATTAGATATATGAAACTACTGTGTATGCACATCAAAGATATGTCACTGGACCAGTATGAGTCGTAAGTAAATGAAAAGTTATAACACGCCTTTGAGCGAGATCAGCATTAGATACATGAAACTACTGTGTATGCACATCAAAGATATGTCACTGGACCAGTATGAGTCGTAAGTAAATGAAAAGTTATAACACGCCTTTGAGCGAGATCAGCATTAGATATATGAAACTACTGTGTATGCACATCAAAGATATGTCACTGGACCAGTATGAGTCGTAAGTAAATGAAAAGTTATAACACGCCTTTGAGCGAGATCAGCATTAGATATATGAAACTACTGTGTATGCACATCAAAGATGTCACTGGACCAGTATGAGTCGTAAGTAAATGAAAAGTTATAACACGCCTTTGAAAGAGATCAGCATTAGGGACATGAAACTACTATGAATATATAACAAAACAGTCAGTCGGATTAACATAGCTCGTAAATGAAAAGTTATAATCGCCTTTGAGCGAGATCAGCATTAGTTATGAAACTACTGTGTATGCACATCAAAATGCCTTACTGGACCAGTATAACTCGTAAGTAAATGAAAAGTTGCATTACGCCTTTGAGCGAGATCAGCATTAGTTATATGAAACTACTGTGTATGCACATCAGACATCTACTGGACCGATATAAGTTGTAAATGAAAGTTGTATCACGCCTTTGAGCGAGATCAGCATTAAATATATGAAACTACTGTGTATGCACATCAAAGATATGTCACTGGACCAGTATGAGTCGTAAGTAAATGAAAAGTTATAACACGCCTTTGAGCGAGATCAGCATTATATATATGAAACTACTGTGTATGCACATCAAAGATATGTCACTGGACCAGTATGAGTCGTAAGTAAATGAAAAGTTATAACACGCCTTTGAGCGAGATCAGCATTAGATATATAAAACTACTGTGTATGCACATCAAAGATGTGTCACTGGACCAGTATGAGTCGTAAGTAAATAAAGTTATAACACGCCTTTGAGCGAGATCAGCATTAGATATATGAAACTACTGTGTATGCACATCAAAACACTTACTGGACCAGAGTATCTCGTAAGTAAATGAAAAGTTATAACACGCCTTTGAGCGAGATCAGCATAAGTATATCAATTATTGTATGCATATCAAAAGCAGCACATCTGGATTAACATAGCTCGAAAATAAGTTGTTGCAGTGAATCGCCTTTGAGCGAGATCAGCATTAGATATATAAAACTACTGTGTGCACATCAAAAATGCCTTACTGGACCAGTATAACTCGTAAGTAAATGAAAAGTTGATAACACGCCTTTGAGCGAGATCAGCATTAGATATATGAAACTACTGTGTATGCACATCAAACATCTACTGGACCGATATAACTCGTAAGTAAATGAAAAGTTGAACACGCCTTTGAGCGAGATCAGCATTAGATATATGAAACTACTGTATGCACATCAAAGATATGTCACTGGACCAGTATGAGTCGAGTAAATGAAAAGTTATAACACGCCTTTGAGCGAGATCAGCATTAGATATATGAAACTACTGTGTATGCACATCAAAGATGTGTCACTGGACCAGTATGAGTCGTAAGTAAATGAAAAGTTATAACACGCCTTTGAAAGATCGGCATAAGGGACATCTAATTTTATGAATATATAACGAAAACAGCTCAGTCGGATTAACATAGCTCGAAAAATAAGAAAGTAGTGAATCGCCTTTGAGCGAGATTAGCATTAGTTATGTAAACTACTGTATGTGCACATCAAAATCATCTTACTGGACCAGTGTAACTCGTAAGTAAATGAAAATTTGCATTATGCCTTTGAGCGAGATCAGCATTAGTTTTATGAGACTACTGTGTATGTGCATCAGACATCTAATGGACCGATATAACTCGTAAGTAAATGAAAAGTTGGATCACGCCTGTGAGCGAGATCAGCATTACTTACATGAAACTACTGTGTATGCACATCAAAGATATGTCACTGGACCAGTATGAGTCGTAAGTAAATGAAAAGTTATAACACGCCTTTGAGCGAGATCAGCGTTATATACATGAAA